ACTGCAGAGGGAGTGTATTTATGGCTGACTGAACAAAGGAAGGACTAATGAGCTGATAAGGAGCAGGTGTGAGTAGAGCTGATGAGGAAGCCGAGGGAAAAGAAAACACAAGGGGGCAACAGAGGACAGACAAAGAAAAAACCTAAGAAACTTAAATGAATCCAGAACACATCAATAAAGCTAGAAAACAAGGAAAAACCAGCATGAACTTGAAACTGAAAAATTATAGAAAACGAACAGAACCAAGATCGTTACACAGTCAGCTGTTATCCAAACCCAGTTTTTCACAATATGACCACATGTTTTGTTAGAAGCAAATTTCCTTTTAAAAACGTAAGTCTGTAATGACAAACTACATTTTGATTTGCTGATGACAGTGCTATCAGTCACTACACTTCCAGCTGCCATGTCTGTATCCTGAGACATGCAATCATTTCAGTTCATATCAACTCCTTGGCTTTATTAAATATATGAAATGTCGAATGTTTTGGTTTGGGTCTGTCTGAAACTCAAAATAGAGTTTCGCCGCAAACATTTTGATTTTTATGCATCGTGAGAGAGACAGTGAATGCAATGAGGGAATAACAAACATGGTCTGGAGATGTACAGTACACTGTATGTGTATTAAAAGGACATTTTACAGAATATTTTGTTGTGTTGATTAATGGCATGCTCATATTAAGCATTTACATTTGATGTCGCACCTTTTGCCACCACCAGTATTTTTTTCACTGACTTTTTCTGGACATGTTCTTGAAACCAATTTCGGATCAAATAAGTATAATTTTATTTTTTTTTACATCTGTAACAATACAACCACAGCTCTTGTGATTTATTCCCACTGTTTGGCTTTTACTGGTCCTTAAGTTGTGCTTCTCAGCTCTCATTCAGCAGAATCTAAATCTCTCAGCTGGTAAAGCCTCTCTCCTTCACCTTCAATGCCCTTTCTGTGAACAAACCAGCGATTGAAGTCAAATCCTTTTATACTATTATTGGGGCGGTGATTGTGCAGATTTACATTTCTCAAGAAAGCGCACTGACTTACATACTGTACAGAAGGACTGCATCAGGTTTATGAGGATCATTTACTGAAGTTTAGATTGTTTGTTGAGTCTGATGTTTATTGCATTTTCGTAAAGAGACCATAATAGGAGAAAAAAGTAGGAGAAATTTACAACAACAATGCAAAAATGTTGTTGCATGATGCAGTATGCTTACAACACTTGTGCTCTGGATTCTGATTGTGAAAGGCATTTCTGTCATAACTGTAGCCTTGTTTTTCAACCTAATCTTTTCCTTTACTTCCTGCAAAATGAAGAATTGAATCTAACTTCATGAAGGACGATGAAAGAAGTCTTTCCCATTTAACAGTTTCATTATAAGTTTGCATCCTTTTTCCTCAACCAGGATTTCCATGCCATCCTCCCTGTCTTTTCACTAAGGCACCACACACCCAATTAAATTAAATTCAGTTCAGTTTATTTCTATAGCGCCAATTCACAACACATGTCAACTCAAGGCAATTTACAATTCAACCAGATCATACAGTCAAATTGATAAAAAAATGTTTTATCTCAGGAAAACCAGTCGATTTCATAGAAGGCAATACCTCACACTAAGCATGCTTGTAGAGAGTAAAAACTCCCTTTTAACTGGAAAAAAACTCCAGCAGAACCAGGCTCAGTGTGAGCGGCCATCTGCTGAGGCCGACTGGGGTTCAAGGAGACAAAAGCAGACAAACAGAAAGAAGCAGAGATACAAAAGGCAACTGTCAATCAGCTCCATAGGCGGCCCTGTCCAGGAAACACACAGCCAGGCAGACCAACTCCGAGGATGAAGAGAGCACATCCAGACAGTCACAGTCAGAGAATCAGGACTACACTGGAAAACAGGCTGATCTCTAACATCTCTAAACAAAGGTGTTGATGGCAGCAGCACAGCTGATATTTCTCTCCAGGATGGAGTCACAGCCAAACAGGAATAAACCAGACCACCAATCTATCATATTATAATTTAAAAAGTTTTTTTTTTTTTTTTTTCAAAAACAAAAATCTCTTTCCTATTTGCAAAATATATCCTTATTCTGTGGTTCCAGACAACATGTTTAAGAGCATTTCTTTTTTTTTCAGAGAACATGGCAGCAAATACTTTTGAGTCAGAAAAAAAGTTTGAAAAGTACTTTTTAGCTTTGGAAAGCATTCTAAAGAGTCTGATTGTAATTCATTTGATATTGATAATATTAAAATGTTTACACTTTATCATTGGAAATTGAAGTACAAGGTTGTGCAGTTGGAGGAAATTGCCTCACAGCAAGCAAGCACGCTAAAGAGAAAAAAACTCCATTTGAACTAGAAACATCTGTAATCGAAGGTGTTGATGGCAGCAGCCCAGCTGATATTTCCCTCCAGGACAGAGTCACAGCCAAACAGGAACAGACCAGATGAAGCTACTATGTAGAGAAAAAGCAGAGAGAGCAGCTACTGTAAAAATCGAAATCTATTCTAATTTTTCTTGAACTGAGGAGGTAAAAGAGACATTTTGCCAATGGAACAAGACAAATTACACTTCAAATAAGAAAAAACAATGTCATTGTCTTAGTTCAAGTGCATATTATCTAATTATCTTATTTTAAGAGTAAAAATACTCATTCCATTGGCAAACTTTCTTATTTACCTACTCAGACTAAGGGTAAATACACTTAATTTAGGACATTTTTACTTATTTCTAGGTCATTTTTCCAATGTAGAATGAAGCAGAATAAAGAAAGTGGTCCCTTTGTCCTCCAGCAGCCTTAAAATATTGTGCAAATTTGTGCTGATAGCCACATTATTTGACAGACAAACAAACAAAGCCATGTTTTACAGATCAGAAAACAGAGAGAAACATTTCTCAGTGTAATATTGTCTTTTATTTTAGTTGTTTAAAAGGAAACATTCCTTTACATTTAACACAAATAAGAAGAATGCATAAGGGTTTAGGGACAGTCTGCTAAAACTAAGTACAAACCCCTGTCCCTGGCCAGTAGTTTAACCCTTTAAAGCCCGATCCAAGAATAAAACAAAACAGAAAATTACTTTTTTTTGGTTTGAATTCCTTATTTGCCCTTTTAACAAAATATGTAAAAAGAAAAAACAGAAATACATTTTTGATATTAATAATTTATTACTATACGATAAGTCAAGATTATTTTTTGTGTTATCAGGTATATCTGATTGTGTACAATAGGATTTTGAGCAAAGTTTTTACCATTAAATTATGCAAAAGGTGTCAGATGCAAAACATTTCAGAAACCGTATGTATCAAATATGATACATTTGGCATTAAAAGGGTTAATCCAGGGGTTTAAAAAATCTTAATCTGTCTGCCATAGATGTGAACTTCCTCAATTTGAGTTGTATTACTTAATCTGCTTAATCAGTGGGTTGTTCAATAAACCTTTAGCCTCCTGGTGTTTTTTAATTTGCTTGAAACCTTCCCTATTGCATGTGAGGAAACTATTTTTTATAATAACTTTGGAGATTTCAGAAAATCCAAACATGAATGAATGCATTCTGATGGTGTTCTGCACAACACTGAGGTGCACAAAAAGCCTCCTTTCCAAGCATGGTTCAACAAAAACTTAAAAGTACCGCGCAGGAAACTAGCTTTCATTTATGCTAGCCGTGAGGCAAAAGGTGCATTGTATATATTTCACAGCGGACACCTAGATCCTGCTTTAGAAAATAAATATTTCAGCGCTTCTCTGCATTAAACAGAAAAAATGAAACAAATGAAATATTTGTCTGCTGCAAAGAACGTGGATTGAAGATTTGTGTGTTTGGTTTGCAGAGTGTGAGAACAAATCTTCCTCGATTTCTGTTTTATATTCCTCAACTTGCAGCCTCAGTTTACTCACAGCCACTAGAGAGCCTCATCACTTTGCTCTAAGCTGCTGATACTGGGAGGTCTGTGGTGTCCTTTTTTTCCTCACAGGATAAAATATGAATCAAGATCAAGCCAACGCTCCCAAGCTAGAGTTTTTAAACCATCTGATGTGTTTTTAATAATATATATCTCATTACTTCATAGGGATAGTGTTTACCTTTTGAAGCTATGTTTTTAATATATCATCTGAACTTTTTACTTCATGTATCTCTATTATATGTAAATATCTGAATTTGTTTTTATCAGGGTTGAATTTTAAAGTGATTTCAAGGTGTTGCATTCAAAATAATTCCTTCTAGATAAGAGCAACAAGGAACTGATAATTTTCCAGATACGGGGTGCAAAGGGAGGGTAATGTAAATCCCCTTCCCCCCTTGTTTCCGCCTCTCCTTCTCCCTCTTTGTTGAAGATTGTACTGATTGTGCTGCAATATGTCGCATGACCACAGTCAACGCTGCAGACTGGGGAGCGGTGTCCCATGCTTATTAAATCAATGGTGTGTGCCTCTTGAAGTAGTGTGTGGCACGGATGCGTTCATCGCAGCATCTCACCGCAGGCTCTCTTCAAACAGAACAAAGCGCTGGCTTCGCATTTGTTACTCATCAAAATAAAATTACAGAAAAGAAGAAAAAAAAACAAAACAGATTCCCTTTTGATCCTTTCGTCACACATTTGCCTAATCTCATTCTGTGCAGGAATAAAACAACTCTTTGAATGTGTTATCTGGACATCTATTCAAGGAGATGCTTTGATATTAATGAGGAAACCCTCATTAATATTCATTCACACTAAACTTGTGCATGTTGACTTTTTTTAATTTGCTGCATTGCCTGCTTTTGTGGGAGTCAAGGAACCGCATGTTGAGTCTCAAAGGTGATTTTTAAAAGAACTTTAAGTGGTTTGTTGGGTGTTTGCGCACAACAGGAATGGAGTGAAGAGTTATTTAGCTCGTTTGACTATCCATTGGGCTGAGTGAGGGATGTGCCCCTAGACATTTGCACTACAGCATCCTGCTGACTTGCTTTGCTTGCTCGCAGTGCCATAGAAACAGGGTTCCAGAGTGCAGTGGAGGCTCATTCTGTGCAGAAGCAAGCAGGGGAGAGGATCAGGAGGAGAGAGTGAGGAAGCGGGGAGGAAAAAAAAGAGATAGAAAGAGACAGAGACAGAAAGGAACACAGAGAAACAGGGAGGGAAAAGTGAGAGGGAAGGATCAAGAAGGGGAAAAGTGAAAGGCGCTGTCACTGGTGAGTACACAGCTGTCACTGGAGATTGAATCAGAGGTTCAAATCTGATGCTCTGAGTGTTCTCTTTTCCTCTCTGTTGGCTGTTTGACGATTGATTCCTCCAGCTTTGTTTCAGTGGCGTGAAACAGGTTGCATGCTGTCCTTGTGTTTGCGCTCTGATGCAGAGCAGCACTGGATTTGTTTTATTTGCCTTGGAACATCATGTTTTGGTTAATCTTAGTCCAACAATCTGTATTTACTTTTGAATAATTCATGCAGAGCTATAAAAAAAAAAAGAGAAAACTTCTTTTTTTGGTAGTCATTACACTCTTCTGTATCATTCATGAAGCTCCGCTTTAATATTTGATTAGCCTGGATGTCTTGCTGCAGACTTTTTGTCTCTGTCTTACTTACCTTTGTCAATTAGATTAGTGCCAGAACCGCAGGGAAATTATTTTGATATTGACTTGTCTTCTCCGCCGCTTTTTATCAATTATTGAGCAGCTGAGCTGATGCTACATGGCTCCACCTGTACGGCGGGGATGTAGAAACTCACTCAGCTGCATAGCGTAAAATGTTAACGCAGGTCACAGCTGCTTGTGTCTGTGAGTGAGCTGGTGTGTTTTCTGATGCGTCCACTCCTCTGTGCACACTTTTTCCCTTTTTTTTCCCTTCCTTCTCAACATCTCTCTCCTGCTGTGTTTGATCAACTTGTATCATGACACTTTGATGAAGCACCAGAACTGTTGGGCTAACATTGGAGAGACACTGCAGGCTAGCCTGTGCCTCCTGTCAGTCTGACTAAGAGGAAATTGTGTTATCCTCATCACCGCTCGCCTTGTTGTCACTTAGGATTTAAAGTGCGTTGGAAGTGATAATAGGCTAAGATTTATCTTGGAGCAAATATCCCTTGCAGCTTGCGGAGTGGTAATCCTGTTTATGTTTTGTCTTTTGCGGCTCCCTGCTTGCATTCACCTGTTCCTGGAGTGCAGTTTTATGTTGTTTTTCTTTTTTTTCCTCCCTTCATCAGCCGCTGCAGTTCCAGGAGAAGCTTGAATTAAACAAATCCAGCCAGCTTTATCAGCTTGCTGCTGCCTCCTGGCATGAATGGACCCAACGGCCTCCTTGCAGCATGTGTGAGGGACATACGTGGTTGCAAAGCTCATTTGACTGAGTGTGTGCATGCATGCATGCATGCGTGTGCACTGTTAGAGGGGTTGACATGATTGTGTGTGATCAGGATAGCCGCAGGGGTCGTTTGCTCCCTTTTTTTGTGGGCACATTCAAGGATTATGGCATTTTGTCTTGCTTCCTCTCTCCTGTGACACATTTATGACTTCTTGTTAAAATGTCACTCACTGAGGCTGGACTGTAAAATACCCCTGCACGGTGGCTTACCGTGCGAACAACAGTGTGCCCTGGTGTGATAAAGCCCGCTTAAGCACACAATTGGGAGTACAAGGCTGCAGGATGGGGGAGATAACACTTAGCTCTCTCAGGGGCCTGCCTTTTACTGGCATCATTTGTTTCGGTATAATATAAAATTGGGTTGAAATTTGACAGCTTTGCAGCCTGGATCAATATGCTGGCTGTTCATGAGGGGAAACAATACTGTGGTAGGATATTCTCTCGTAAACAAGAGGATATCCTGTGCTGCCAGTAATTTTCCATGTTTTTTAGAGAGTGAAATACACTAATGTTAGATAAGTTACCTGGAAGGAAATCAGAATTCTGCTCCTATAAGTTTGCCAGCCGCTGAACCCCAGAGAAAACCTGCTGCTAAAATGAAAATGGCTTTTCTGTAAGTAGGGACGGATTCTTATAATGGCGTCCCTCTCGGTGAATTATGTGGATTTGTTCGGCTCCGGGGCTAAAAAGTCTCCTATCGAATTTTTCATTCACACTCAGGAAATATTTTTATTTCTTTACATATGCACTGCTGCACTGCAAAAAATTTAAATCTAAGTAAGTTTATTATTCTTAAAATAAGAGCATTTTTTCTTGAATCAAGCAGTTAAGTGATACACTTTGCCAATGGAATAAGGCAATTTACATTTAAAATAAGAAAAAACAACTACAGTCTGTTATTTCAAGTGCATAATATCTAATTTGCTTATTTTCTACTTATTTTAAGAGTAAAAATGCTTATTCCATTTTCAGATTATCTTATTTACTTGCTCAAATTAAAGGTAAATACACTTAATATAAGAAATTTTTACTAATTTTTAGATCGTTTTTGCAGTGTGCAGAGTTTTAGATTTTTAAAGCATCCTGGAAAAAAATCTAAATCTTTTTAAGTAATTTTTTCTTAAAATAAGTGCATTTGTTCTTGGATTGAGGAGGTAAAATAAACATTTTGCCAATGGAGCAAGACAATTTACACTTAAAATAAGAAAACCCATTTGCATAGTCTTATTTCAAATGCATATTATCTAATTATCTTATTTTAAGAGTAAAAATGCTCATTCCATTGGCAAACTATCTCATTTACCTACTCAGATTAAGGGTAAAGACACTTAATTTGAGACATTTTTACTTATTTCTAGATCGTTTTTCTAGTGTGAAAGGACACCATGTTATATGATTCAGAAAGACAGAAAATTCCTCCGTTTTTCTTTACCTAAGTCTGGGAATGCTTTAGGTTTCTGTTGAGTTCGTAAAGATAGAAATCGACTCTTAAAGTAAAATAGCACATCATAGAACAACTTAAACCTTTGTTTCTTTTTTTCTTATTGCACAACGCATTAATTTCCCGACAACAATATACATTTTTTTTTTGTGGAAAACATATTTTCATTTTTCTATTTTGAAATTAATGGATTTACTGATGATAAACTTTGCAAGCATAATCTGATAAAGGTTTTTAAAGACCAATATCGATATTTATTTTAACATCAGCCAAATCGATCTACATGATGTGTTGCAGATCATTTTTGGGCAGAACCTTAGAGCTGACATTGCTTTTTTTTTTTTCATTCTTCATTTGCATGATAAAAATGACACTAAGATCAAAAATATAACACAAGTTTCCGTCTAAACAACAAATAAAACTAATAAATCAGACTAAACATTAACAATGGATTGCAAAATTGAGGGTACAACAATGCATGTGTTTACTTGATTTCAATCAAATGTTGTCCATATCTCTCGTAAGCAGGATATTTAGTCTAAATTTGACCAAAATATATTTATTTTTCGTTCCCCTCTTTCTAAGACTGTCCTAAAGTCAAACCTCCATTGAAAATACTTATATTGTGTCATCACAAATTAAATAAGGACTTAAGTAAATAACTGAAAAATGCGTTAGAAGTTTTACTGCTCCATGTAGAGTGAATCCATTTAGGTTTAATTGCCAAGGGAACTGCATTTTGAAATTCAGTCCTATATTATTTAAAATAAAACTATTTTTTAAGTGTGTCATAAACAGTATATTGTATGGCAATACTATGAAGTCAGAATTCTGCTGAAAGTGCTCCTGCATAATAAATTCTTATAACAGCAGCTTTATTTAAAACACATGCACATAAACCACACTCATTTAGAACATTTTATGCATGCAAATTCCACACCACCAGGCCCTAAATGTATCAGACGTGAGTTCATGCTCCTTCTCTCTGCTCCTCTTGCTTTTATGCGGCTGTAGATTCTCTCCTGGTGCTCTCATGTCTACTTTTGCCATTCTGAAGGTGGAGCCAACCTGAGAAAGTAAGCCACTTGTGTAGGCGACTTTTCAGGAAAACCAAACAAGACCCTTAAACAGAGACTAGTGCATCCTAAGGACAAAACCCCCAAGACCAAATATGAGCGGAGTGGTGTCTACAGTTCAATGCAGAGAGGAATGCTCGGATCTTTACATTAGAGAAACTAAACAACTTCTCTACAGATGCATGGTCCAACACAGAAGAGCGACCTCCTCAGGACACGAATCTGCGGTACATCTACAGTATACTTTAAGCGGGGCGTATACTGTGCGATTTATTTCAGTCGTTGCACCAGCCATAGCTCACGATGTATGTGCAGCACGACGCTCTGATGCGATCTACCTGCTCACACTGTACGACTAAAAACCACGTCGGACTCAGCTCCGCAGTGAGATGGAGTTACTCTGACTCGTCTATCTGGAAGCCAAACAAATCAAAGGGGAATATGAAGCTCACTAGAGTAAAACCCGCTGTCTTGGCAACTTGTGCAAATTTGTGCTGAAAGCCTTAAAAAGAAAAGGCGGCAACATATTTGGACAAAGACATGGCTAAGCAAAAATGGCTACTACGGTCTGTCAATTTTACAGAAAGAACTCCATTTCACTCATTGCACCCCCGCCATGCTGCTGTGTTTACATCTGAGAGGAAGAAGGAAAAGAAGAACCCTGGGTTGCGCATGCCCACTGAGCGATTTACGCACGACGGTCGGGAGAAAATCAAACATGTTGGCCAGCCTCATTCAATACTGAATGAGTATTGAATGAGGCTGGCCAACAGCCCTATTTTTTTTATGAAAATCTTTTATCTGGACTTTAATCCAGACTGGACTTTAATCTAGGGTTAATGCATCTTGACACTGGAGCTGTTCAGAAAACACCCGGTGCATTGGTCTAATTGCTTATGAATCAGAAGTGGAAGCAAATTATCAAACCCACAATGTCGTCTTGTTACCTTGAAGTAAACACAGGATTATTTACAGATTTACACATAGGCTGCCATGACTTATACTTAAAAAAATCAGTTTTAACACACACCAATGTTCTCATTATGACGAGAAAACGTCTTTCAATTATCTTTAGATAACGAGAAAATTAACTTGTTTTCTATTCCATAAAGTGCAGTAGCGATCAAATGTTAACAATGTGAGAGAAAAAAAACTTGCAAAAACGCATTGATATGAAAGTTCAGAACATTTCAAGACAAATAAATATGGTGCAAACATGCAGTATGTTTGTATGATCATTATCTTTATTAGAAATTGACCTAGTATTATATCTAGGGCAGGGGCCCTGATTGGCTCTAGAACCACCCATGAGTATT